TATTCTGATAGTCATGTATGCTAACCATAAAAGGTGGCACGAGCATAATCCTCTTGAGATTATTGATTCAATAGAAGCCTGCATCGAAGGCGCTGTCAAGCAGTTCGAAGAAAAAGGCCACTCGGCGAGACAGATCAAAGCCGTGGGACTCACGAATCAACGAGAAACAACGGTTGTCTGGGACCACGTAACAGGAGAACCCCTTGCAAATGCCATTGTTTGGACAGATACCAGAAACCAAGCCTTGGTCAGGAAATTAAAAACTCGGCTTGGATCTGATCAACTGCAACGCCTTTGTGGTCTTCCATTATCAACGTATCCTTCTGTTGGCAAGCTTTTGTGGTTGATTGAAAACAATCGTAGAGTTGCAGATGCATATGCTCGTGGTCGTTTAGCGTTTGGAACTATAGATTCTTGGGTCATTTACAAGCTTAATGGCGGACCAAAGAAGAACGTATTCGTCACTGATCCCACGAATGCATCCCGTTCGATGTTCATGAACTTACATACTCTCCAGTATGATGAGCAGCTTCTGGATTTCTTCCGATTTGATATGGATAGAATTCAGTATGTTCCTTACATATTTCGATCGGGAGAACGCACTAACGTCGTAGTCTTCCTAAGATTGTCCGCTCCTCGGACCGCGAATCCTTTGGCACTCTTACAAAGGGAGTTTTAAAAGGAGTTCCAATCACGGGTGTACTTGGCGATCAAAGTGCAGCACTCGTGGGGCAGAAAGGTTTTACTCCAGGCAGAGCGAAAAGCACATACGGAACAGGCTGCTTCCTACTCTACCATGTTGGTAATAAGCCTGTAATCTCTACACATGGGCTTTTGAGTACGGTCGCTTACGACTTTGACGGTAAACCACAATATGCTTTGGAAGGAAGTATCGCCGTCGCAGGCTCCAGTATTAAATTCCTTCAAAACAACCTTGGCTTTATCGATTCTTCAGCTAAGGTCAGTCAGCTTGCCGAGACGGTAGAGGATAACGGTGGTGTCACTTTCGTGACAGCATTCAGTGGGTTATTCGCTCCATACTGGTACGACGACGCTCGTGGTACCATTTGTAAGATACATTTCCGATATCTAATAAACCACAGTACTGACAAATTGACAGTCGGTATTACAGCGTATACGCAAAAAGGTCATATCGCTCGCGCAACCTTGGAGGCAACGTGCTTCCAAACGAAAGCCATCTTGGACGCGATGGAAAAGGATAGTGGAAAGAAACTTGCTGAACTCGCCGTCGATGGTGGCATGAGCAACTCTGATCTCTGTATGCAAGTAAGCTCCATTGCCAAACCCCTTTTATTTTGGATGATGTCTAAAATGCTTCAGACTCAAGCCGATCTTATTTCGATCCCGGTTGAACGACCAAGAATGTTGGAGACAACAGCATTAGGTGCCGCTATCGCTGCAGGATTCGCCGTTGGGATCTGGAAAACTTTCAACGAACTGAAAAATATTAATACTGTAGGTAAAACTGTGTTCCATCCCAAAATCACCCCGGAGGAGAGCAAGGAGAGGTTCTCGCGATGGTCAAAGGCAGTCGAAATGTGTAAGGGTTGGTTATAAAGGAATCGCTGTGAAAAATTTGAATAGAGTAAAGGCGAGAAGTTGCAGATGTGTGATGTTGTACCTAAGTACCTGTTCATGTAGCGGTACCTTCGTACCTTAGATATCAGATGTAGTCATGGGGGACGTTTTACTTGGTCGTAAAAACCCCCACCAATTAGCTTCAATAACAAACGCTGTCACATGATCTGATCATATCTCCCTGGTCGCCACGTGATAAAGCCTCAAATAAATATGGCGCTTGTTCCGCACACCCGAGATGCGGGAACGTTGAGGTCGAAGTACCTGCATCCCCTTGAATCTAAAATTTATCCCAAATAAAACATTGTTCATTGATCGGTAAGTACCGTCCGATGCAAGTCTTGTCGTCTAATGTAGACACGAGATGAAGTAGTCTTCGTTTCATGTTAACCGCTGATCTGAAACGGTCTTATAGGGGTAATCAGCAATAAGATAAGATGCATATGGCAGAATTGTTACTATTCTATCATTAGCTTTCACGCAAATTACCCGCCACCATGCATTTTAAGAAATTCGACTTCATGATTTCTATGTGAATTGCAAATATACCAGTATATGTGCGAGAATTTCTACTTCAACAATTTCAACAGCAAACAAGCTCAACATCAATGCCCGCAGGATGATTTGATGAATTTAATCTTCCTTAAAGCTTCGGAATTATTTCTGCAACAGCTCACCGTTGCAGAAGCGAGATTTCCATCTCTTGCAACGGCCGTGTCATATGTTAGTACTTGAGACACGTTCATCCCAAGCTACCTATGACAAACTGGAAGGCTCTTCATCATGAAGCTCTTTCGTCCCAATTCTCTTAGCCGTTGCATCTTTACCAAGGGTCGTGCTAAAGTTGTTCTCCTTCCAATTTATTTTCATCCCATGAGATCATAAGGCTCGGCTACAGTGACCTGAATTGCTTTGCTTTCTTAAAAATACGGTACGAAACTGTAGTACAGCATGTTCAGTTCTCCTGGAAACCGAAATCATCAATTGGAATGAACAAATCAAACAGGCTGATACAGCTTCAACTGATGAGCTGCAACTATTGCCTGCAAGTGGGATTGTCGGATCTGGTCAAGACCAAGTTGGGCTTACCATCCATTGTCGGCTCACGGCACAGATATGCAGTTGTGGTTCAGAAAGAAATGTATATGAATGATGGTTTTGCCATCAAGTATAACATCTATTTCTCTCGTCAATCCCAATCGTGACTTGTTCAAGCTACACTCCTTTCGTGCGCATTCATTCTCTTTACTTTTACATTCTATTTATGCTTTGATAGCATTTTTCCGTTCTTTTCATTCGAACCTATTCGACTGTGTCGCTTTTACATACATCAATTTTTTAACTTTCTATTACGAACCTACTAGATCACATAAAAACACATAAAAAGACATCATTACACATTGAAAATGTTGTTTCAATCAATCACTCTCGCATTTCTTGCTTCGACTAGCATGGTTCAGGCCCGCGGTGCATGGAGACACATAGATATTCACAAGCGCGCCACAGCAACAAGTTCCGATGATACTAGTCTTACTCTGGCCCAGGACGCTATTTCAAGCGGATCATTTAGTGATGGGCTCCAAGAAATAGGTGGTAATGAGGCATCTGAAGCTGCATCTGCCACTTCTCGAAACAACTTCATCAACTTTTGTGCAGGAGACACTCTTACCAATGGCCTTCAAATTGTAACAGGGTCTTGCAATGGAATCCGTAAGTATCTATCTATCTCAGTCTGGTTGATTGTCTTCTCATATTATTAGCAATGGGTCAAATTCCCGCGAAAACCAAAATGATGTCATCAATAATTACATTCCCTTTGGCTGGTAGCGCAACGATAAAATCCGATACAACATTCAATATCACTGTTCAAATGTCCAACATTGCTCCAGGTTCCTTCTCTAACGCTGCTTCTACCTACTTCTCCGCTCCACAACAACTTGACGCATCTGGAGTAAGTTTTCTCATCCCGAACTACCCAATGTCCCACTTTTTACGTGGCCGGCGTCACTTTTAATATTCTCTATTTTCCGCGGGGACCTACCCCTGCTCAATAATCACTGACATCTGTTGTGTCGTAGGTAGTAATTGGGCATACACACGTCACCGTACAAGACATGGGTTCCAGTCTCAACCCAACCGGAGCTTTAGATCCTACTCAATTCGCATTCTTTAAGGGTATCAATGATGTTGGAAACGGCCAAGGACTTCTTTCCGCTACTGTCAATGGTGGTTTACCAGCTGGAAACTATCGTGTATGTACGCTGGCTTCATCAACTAATCATCAGCCTGTCATCATGCCTGTTGCCCAACGAGGCACTGCTGACGATTGTACTAAATTCACCGTCATCGGATCCGGTACCACTGCAAATGCTGCATCTGACAATGGTAATTCCAACCTTTTTGCTCTCCATGAATGAATAGCCATGCTAACATTTACCAATGTGAAGGTTCAGGTGGTCAAGCAGCAGCAGCTCTAGCAGCCAGCGCAGTCGCAGCCGGTCCAGACAACACAGACTCGACTACGAGCTCGTCGGCAAGTTCTACAGTCACATCTGCTTCATCTGCTTCTGAGTGTGCACCACAAGCAACAAAATTCACGACCGTTTTTGCTGATCCCGGTGTCGCAACGAGCACATCTTCAGCAGTAGCTTTCTCAAGTAGTACAGCAAGCGCCAGTTCCTCTTCTACAGGTTCTTCCGTGTCAGCACTAGGCGGTATAACCGCACCAGCTGTAACCAAAAGTGGAGATTCAACACGTCCATTCTCAGTAAATGGCAACACTTTTGTAAATGAAGCTGGGGCTCTACAGAGAAGTTGCGATATACAATTTAATGCATGTGCAGATGCAGTCAATGGGGGAATTGCCAACGGGTTTAATCTCAGTGATTGTCAGACGCAGGAGAATACCTGTCGAGCTGGGTAATGGGTTGAAATTTGGAATCGGATAGTTTTTTGTTAAGGATCGTGATTCGTATGTATGATTACTTTCTGGCGAGGATGGCGTTACTAGATGATATTATTTGAATGGGATGATTTGTGTTTTGTATTTGTTTATGAAGAAAGTAGAAAGTATAAACAATTTTGTCATGTCTCTGTTTCGATATAGATATTAGAGTATTCTTAACAAATTCCTACACATTCCCAAGCAGAAAGTTTTATCCCAGTTCTTCGACATCAATGTATCTCTCCTCTCCGCAATCAAAACAACACATAACCCAAAGCTTTCCCCTTGTATCCTTTGCTAAACCTCTTAAAAATTAGAAAATAATAAAAAATCCATACTGATTAATTCCCAACCATGAATCTCCTCGACCAAACAACTCCAGATCAAGTTCTCAGGTAGTATTCCCAGCTCAAATCTCCAGCTAAAATCCGTTCCTTCCCCCCAAGCATCCTTTAACCCAATAAATCCCAAGTGGATACATCTTCAGATATGCAACAAAACCCCTACAAACCCCATTCCATCTCAATCAATACCTAATCATCAATTTCCTCAACTAAGACTCGACGACTCCAACTCAAATCCCCCACCCCCTCTCCTTAGCATCTCCTAACCCAAGAAATCCTAAGTGGGTACATTCTCCAGACAAGCAACAAAATTCTACAAAATTCTACAATATCCATCCTGATAGGTTTCTAGTGATAGGAACTCCACTTAAACAACTGCAGATCAAATTTCCATCTCAACATCTCACCTCCGCATCCCTTCAACCCAATAAACCACAAGTGGATACAAATCCAGACATGCAACAAAACCCCTACAGATCCCATTCCATCCCAATTAATACCTAATCATCAATTTCATCGACTAAGAATAAACAACCCCAACTCAAATTCCCCATTCCCCAAGGATCCCCTAACACAATAAATCCCAGGTGGATACATCTTCAGATATGCAACAAAACCTCACAAACCCCATCGCAACCCATCCCAACCCAATTCAATACCAACCACAAATCCCCCCTCCACAAAAAACTACAGCTCAAAATCCCCCCCATCAGCATCCCAGCTCAAATACCCCCTCCCTAAGCATCCCCAAGCATCCCCAAACCCAACAAAAACCCAAGTGGATACATCATCAGACAAGCAACAAAACCCCCTCCCTCCCTCCCACACATCCACTGCTTCAACTACTCACCTCCTCACCTCCTCACCCACGCAT